AGAGATCATTCACCAATGTGACCAATGCCGTTTCCGTGCTGTATCCCGGTCTGAAGCCCGACTGGAGCGGGTCTAGATAGACTGTTTCCTCCAGGTGTCGGGGGAACTGCTGCGCAACCACACTCTCAACAACCTTCGCCACAAAGCGAAGGTTGGAGACCGGACGATAGTTAGCTAATACATCTGGGTCCAGATGTATTACTTTTGAAGATAAGGTTGAACTTGGAGACAGATTCACGTGTTCATCTTATCTCCATCATTAGAAAAATCTGCACTATGGGTGACTCAACAGCAACATAGTACAAAAGAGATATTTTGAAACTCAGTTCCCGGGTAAAACTTTTACATTCTTCTATGAAGAATAACGAGAAGTGGCTTTTTTCTTTCCCCCCCTCAAAACAGAACAGGATGTATATTAAATTAACCTCCTGCTTTTACAGGTGGTCCTCGAATTACGACCACACTTAAGCCCACAATTTCTGTTCCTAAGCAAGATAGTTGTTATCCCTTTTTATGATCTTTCTTGCCGCAGTTGTTAAGGGAATCACTGCAATTGTTAAGTTTGTAACACGGTTATTAAGTGAATCTAGCTTCTCTATTTGCTTGTCAGAAGGTTGTCAAAAGGTGATCATATGAACCTGGGACACTGCAAGCATCATACATGTCAGTTGCCAAGCATCCAGATTTTAATCACATGACCACAGGCATGCTGCAGCGGTCATACGTTTTTCAGTTGTAACTTTGAAGGATCATTAAATGAATGATCGTAAGTCGAGGACCACCTGTACCATGTTTCCTCACAAAATTAATAGATGGTATAGATAGCCATGCTGGCTCAGGAATTCTGGGAATTGAAGTCCACGAGTCATAAAAGAGGCAAGGTTGCCTACCGCTGGTATAGAAGGACATACATTTTGCTATGACATGCCGACTCATTGTTGCTTGGCTTGATGCTCAAATAGATGCAGTAGCTGAGTACAGGTAGTCCTCAACTTACGACCATTTGCTTAGTGACCAAAGTTACAATGGCACTGCAAAAAGTGACTTACAACCAGTTCTGGCATTTATGACTATTGTGGCATCTCCACAGTCACATAATCAAAATTTGAACACTTTGCAATCGGCATGTGTTTACGGTGGCTGCAGCATCCTGGGGTTCATGTGATTGCCTCCTGACCTCCCAGCTGGCTTCCAACAAACAAAGTCAATGAGGTAAGCCAGATTTGCTTAACAACAACCACATGCTTCACATAATTGCAGGGATTTATTTAACAACCGTGGCAAAAAAAGGCCACATAATTGAGTAGGATTCACTTAACTGCTTTACTTAGCAACCGAAATTCTGGTGGTGTTTGTGGTTGTAAGCAGAGGGCCAATAGGCAAGGGGAAAGGCCCACAATAACTACTGCCAGTTACCAACTACTTCATGCTACCATGAGAAAGAAAGTATACATAATTATAGTGTGGAAGTAGGTAAGACTATTAATATTCTATTGTTGATAAATGTGATCACGTGGCATCAAAGAGCCCAAGAACCTTATTTGAAGTTCTATGCATGCTAAATGCTTTGTTCACTGATAGACTTTGTTCCAAACACTAATGTGCGTTTTTCTATATGACCCGCTCACCATGGATCAGTGATGCCTTAGCAACCATCATTCATAGAGCATGAATGAGCGATGACACTTTCAACTGCCCCCTCCCATTCCTCCCCTGGCATGTTTTAATGTTTTTCTTCTAAAATGTTTTGTTGCCGTTTTTGGTCCATATCAAAAAAACAAATTCAACAGTAGTATAAAGCACTTCACTGCTTTATACTCATGTAAGATTATGCCTTGAGAATTTACTGAGTAAGACAAAGTCCATCTTTATTTCTCAGATTTTGTGGAAGATCTTGACAAATGATTTTTCTCAGTCTGTTACTTCATCTCTGTTACTTAAGAAGGAAAATAATTGGAATACGATTGGAATTATCGATTTAAAGGGCCAGTGGACCAAAGAAATAGGTTTGCAATGCATGTACAAAAACTCTGACACACATCACACAAATCAGGCATAGCAAATGTTGAAAGGCTATCTGAATCTCTGTTTGGGCATTAGCTCCTAAGTATTTGGAAGAGAGGAGGTAGAAACCTTTCCTGCTGGTCAAGGCAAAATCTACTGGCTGGGAAGGAACCGTTATGGTTCACTCTTTAAACCTTAACAGTCACTGACTTCTAGAAAAGTCTAACTCTGCCGAGGCTGAGCATCAGTGTTCCAACTGTTAACAGTCTGTGGATTGCTCTTCCGTCAAACCTAGGTGGGTCTCTGTTTCCCCCCAAAGGTTTCCTCTTCACAGTGACATCTCCCTTGTTCCACAGACTGGATCCTCTGCATTATGTTGAAGATTTTACCTTGTTATCTATGGTTCCCATCGGAGCGATATCTTTACTGTTTCCAAATATGAGCAAACAAAACAATACAAGGAAGAAAATTGATCACCGGTGCAACATAGTAAATTTGCTTCACTGTGGGGAAGTCGGTATTTTTCAAAGTTTGGTTTCCAAATGGTACATATCTTGCTGAACCTGTTACCCAGGGCTATTTTTTTTTCTCCATGTGTTCCTGTCTGTGTGTACTAACTTGAAGATATTGAATTATAATTTCCTGAAAGAGCAAAATTTAAGTAAACTTTAAAAATAAAACACTATTATACATATCTTTGCCAAATCAAACTTTACTTTTATCTCAAGGCTTATTAGGAACTTTAATTCAGTCACATAATAAGCATCAGTGTTACAGGTAGCCCTCGACGTACGACTACAATTGAGCCCAAAATTTCTGTTGCTAAGTGAGACGTTTTTAAAGTGTGTTTTGGCCCTTTTTATGATCTTTCTTGCCACGGGTGAATCCCTGCAGTTGTCAAGTTAATAACACGGTTGTTAAGTGAATCTGGCTTCCCCATTAGCTTTGCTTGCCAGAAGGTGATCACATGACCCTGGGACATTGCAACTGTCATATGAACCAGTTGCCAAGCATTTGAACTTTGATTACATGACTGCTGCAATGGTTGTGTGAAAAATAGTCATAAGTCACTTTATAACTTCAAAAGGTCACTAAACGAACTGTTGTAAATCAAAGACTACTTGTACTTCAGTTTGCCATCCACTTTTCCCCATAAGCTTGTTGTCTTCTTATCTTCCAGTACCATGTTCATATTGTCTTAGCTGTGGGTGTGTGATTTGTGAAATACTGGAGTGCCTCACTTTTTGGATGCTCTACAGTAGCCCAAAACCACATATGTATCACAGTTTAATTTCATGTGTATTATAATCCACTTTGCGAATCCTGCTAGAGTTAATTATGATTGTAATTAGTTTGAGTTGTTATTGTTGTTTGGTCACAGACTCAACCAGATGTTTAAACATGTTTTATGTTTAATTTTGGCATGAGATGTTTTGGCATTTTTATCCACCTATTTTGAGTACTTCCCAAGAACTAGAACCTAGAATAGGCAGGGGTTTTCCCTTGATGGTGTTAAAGGTTATCATCAGGATGTAAGCTGTTCCAAGTAAAGCTGCCTTTTGCAATTGATTGATGGTGATTTTGTCAATGCTGATTGTATTCAAGTGGCAGATATTTTGGGATTGTACCTAGGGCACCTATTACTCTTGGTACTATCTGTGTTTCTTTTGCCAGTTATTCTACATCTGTTTTCAGGTCTTTACATTTTATGATTTTCTCTACTTCTTTCACTTTTATTCTGCTGTCTCCAGATACTGCAATGTCCACTCTAACAGACTTTTTTTGTCTTTCTTACTGAAAGTTAAGTCTGGGGTGTTATATGACAGATGCTTGTCTATTTGAATTCTGAAGTCCGGGAGCATTTTAGCTTCTTCCTTTTCTATTACTTTGGCCCCACCAGTTCTTGCTTACAGGCAAATGGTATTTCTTGTAGTTATTCTAATGCACCATTGTTGCTACTTTGCCATGCTGTTTTATAATCAGTCTGTGCAATCGTCTTGTAGCAGCTAACTAGCTGATCCATTGTTTCTTCATCTTCTTGCTGTCTATTGCTGTTTCTCAATTCTGGTTTTGTATTCATGTGTTCTTAAGGCTTGGCCTATTGCAGGCAGAATTAGCTCCTCTGTCACCTTCTTCAACTTTCCTGCTCTTAGCCATTGCTAGATCTTGTTGTTATCTACCTTGCCTATTTTTTTTTAATGTATTGGTCATGTAATATTTTGCCTTGGCATGTCTTTTTTTCTAGTCTTCATTTGGTGGGTCTTTCTTGTAGGTCAGTTTGATCTCTCCAGTACCCAGTAAGCCTTCATGGTATATTAGCTGTAATGCATCTTCTTCACTGTCCTTCAGATATTCTTCCAATGCCCTTTTTTCTTCTTCAGTTGGCTGGTGTACACATTTTTCCCTTTTTACGACCCTGTAATTTCTTGATTTGGGGCGGAGTCAGGACAATTGAATGGAGCTGAGCGTTTACTGGCTGGATGCCGTTCCTGACACCTATGCGGAGTTCACAGCAGATATTTTCTCTTTGTGCCATGATAGAGAAACATCTGTCACTACCTAGGATTAAACTCTCAATCTTCCAAGTGGAAGATGAGAATCTTCACCTCTAGACCACCACACTGTTCATCTGGTGTACACATATATTTTGAAAAACTTGCATAATAACTTACTAAGTGATGATAACATCACTTACTTTAAAACATTTTATCCACGCACTCTTTAAGGAATTTGCTGTGTCAGGACTCTCCCAATTTTTTTCACACATTGTGTGAGAGATTACATTGAATCACAGGTGTCAATAGTCATTCAGTGAACCTCAAACTCATGATCTTAATACTAATCAATATACTTCAGTAACAAGTGGCATGGGAGGGTAAAGCTGTCATTTTGAGATTTCCATTTTTATTTGGTAGCATTCTGGAGATACTTAAGCTATCTAGATGTTTAGTTCCCTATCTTTTTCTTGGCAGATTGCCTGAAGCTGGTCATGGAAGATGGCCAGTAAGCAAGGGTACAGTTGTCTCGCAGATGGCTCTCTGGATATTCCAATATCTAGCCCTGAAGGCACCCCAAGTCTCAGTCCTCATAGTCCAGGACTGTGTCTTATATCTCCTCCAATTGCAGAATCTCACTGGCTGAGCAATGCTCAACCACAGACTGAGGCTCCATCAGAAATGAACATCACTTTAGAAAAGTTGCTTGCTCCAATAACTGAAAAATTGAAATATTTGCTGAAGAAAGCAGAAGACTTCCAGACTTACCTTCTGTACAGGTGGGTTAAGATATAGAAATATTGGCAACCTTTTGACAGCACAATGCTGAAACTTGATTTTAATTGTTTTAATATAGCCAAGAATAGTATAATATCTAAGAAAGCAGTGCCCAGCGCATGTCAGCACCAGCCAACCTTAGCTGATTTCATAATTCTTAATGGGATTGGACTTGAATAATACCTAGATAGAAGCCACCAGGAAATTCCACAGCTCTAGAATTCTAGCAACTGGGAAGTTAAAATCGACATGAATGCAAAAGTACTTTGACTTTATTACCAAAGCAAACTGTATGAACATGACCATTAGGAGTTGAGCTCAATTTCAACGAGTCTTGCAGATATGTATAGGAGGAAAATTAAATAAATGATCAAAAATTTCTGACACCCAAATGTTAAACAACAAAAGTTAAATGGCTTTTTATTCCTCCATCAAAAATAAAAGATTAATAGAACCGTTTTGAGATGGGAAGGATTTCAGTTCAGACTTCTGGGCTTGAATCTTTCTATTGTAAAAGCAGGGCCTTTTTTTTGTCATAGAACGCTCAGAACGGAGTTCCGGCACCTTTTTTGGATGGAACCTTGTAGGGTAGGCAAGGCGGGTTGTATGATGTGTGTGAGTTCCGGCACCTTTTTTTTTTTTTTTTTTTTAAACCAAAAAAGTACTGTATAAAAGTGTGCATTTTGTTTCAAGTTTCGGTTGGTTGATCTTGGAATTCAGTTAAAAAATAAAATAGATCTCACAAAGTGAAATCTGGCTATGAAATGCTAAGGTTTCTGTGGGCCTCTCACAATCAATAATAAGCAACCCAATAGAAAATCTGACAGATGCAAAAGCAAAATACAAATGGAAATGAGCCAGTCTATGTCAAAGAGGGAGCCAAAAGTTTGATATGCGGGACAGTGTTATAGATGCTTTTGAATGATTATCAGTTTCCTTCTATATCTTTGTCTTATTTACTGTAGGTCTTATATTTCACTCTAATTACTTCTATATTACTATTGCCATATCTATTTTCCTCATTAAGTTGCTTCTATTCCAGTGTTCTTAGTTCTACAGCTACACTTCTATTACTCTGCACTTCTGTATAATATCTATCTTCTATTTTTATATCTCCATATTGCTACACAATATTCATCTTCCTATGAATATACTGTAGTTCATATTTCTCTATTGCACTGCAATATTTTGGTTGCTCTTTTCAAGACAGCTGCTGCTGTATTGGCAATTGTGCTGTCCTCGTGATGGGAAAGGGATCCAAAAGGAGTGAAAGGAAGGAGCACAGATGCTTTAAATCTGTCCAGCAGCTCTTCCTCTTACAAACAGGAAGGAGAAATGCAATAAGTCCTGAATGCTTTTTCTCTGTGTAGGGATTTTTTTTTTTTTGAAACAGCAATTGCTGAGATTGTTTGAACATGGCTTGTTAACTTTAGTAAATATGATTGATCAGAAGAGCTTGTTCAGTATGCATTTCTTTTCTCCATGATGTTTCTTTCGTCTAATCCCCAGTTTATGACTAATACAAGGATAAGTCCTCCTTTGATGGACTAGAGTTAAAATATTTTTGCACTTACTCCATCAAAAAGTAGCCTCAAGATGCTTAAACTTCTGTCACCCATTAACTTGGAGGAGATCAGGTCACAAGCAGCAACAGTGAACCCAGGCAATAAAGGCAAGATACAAATTGAAAATGGAGGCAGCAAATTTCTTGGGGCATCCATAGGGGCGGGGGGGGGGGGTAGGTCAAAAAAAAAATCAAGATGGTGATTGCAACCATATAATTCTAAGCCCTGCCTCTTTCTAATCTAATGTATCTGTCTCATATATTTTATAAAGGGCAGGCTGGACTTTAGTGACACTATTGTGACTGCTAATATAACTGTTTTGATACTCCCCACTCCTCCCCCCCCCCAACATGACTGCTGGTGTAGTCAAGGACATTAAAAAGTACTTTAGCTCAACAGAGGGGAAAGTCCTGTGTCTTCAATTTTTTTTTAAAAAAACCCATCTGTATCTAACCTATGCCTGCTGTAGGTTAATCTGGTTGAAACTCAGATCTAATCCTGCTTTTTGTTTGGGCATCTGTCATGATTTGGTAATAAAGAAGGGAACCCTTAAAAATGCAATGTCACCCATTACTTTTTTCTTTGTCCCCAGAGTTTTCTCTTATTTTTAGACCCCTTCCTCAGACTAGGATAAATCATGAATTGAACATGCTAAACTCTGTTCTTCTAAATATCTTAAATAGTGTTAGGCACTGAACAAGATAAGGCAGGAATTAAGATATGAAAGAGAATTTCTGTCTTGTTTTTCCCATTAGGATGGTCTGTAAGGCACTGCATTTCTGATACCTTGCTGATTCCAGTAGGTATCCTGGTGCCCGAAGGCAGCAATATCCATATATTTTTCTACCAAGCTCTTTGCCATACCTCAATTAAAAAGAGGAAGCTTCACATTTTGAACCCAGCCTGGAGTTTGTTGATATGATATTCCTCAACTGCAGCCTATATATGCCCCAAGTGTAGCATGTGTGTGTGTGTGTGTGTGTGTGTGTGTGTGTGTGTGTGTTACAGAATAGTGCTGAGCAGGGAGCAAAGGCAATGGCTCTCCTTGACGTAGTGCTCTCCTATTTTCAGCAGAGACAGAATGCAGAAGGAACAGTTTGCCAAAGCCATGCCCACCTTTTTGCAGATGTGCCAGCCATATTTCCACTATTTGGAATCTACAGCACGCAGCTGCACACCTTATTTAAGACCTCCACAGGAACCAGTCCGGAAAAGAGTGAGTGTTCCCACTGAAGCCCTTGGTCCTATTCCATCCAGTTAGGTTGGGGGAGGGGGAGCAGAGACACTCTGCATCTTTGTGAAACTAACCTGAGAAAGAGGGGAGAAGAAATAGGTTCCAGAATAGAAAAAACTCTTCAAAATTCTTATTTCTTTAGTTTGTGGAAGGTAATTGAGATTCATTCCAGAAGTTTCAGTTCTACTGTGGCTTATAATCAAATGCTTCTTGTGTGCAGCACCAAAATTACAATGTAATTTCAACTCTACCCATCAAAGTATTTATCATTTTTATCATTGTTCCACATTTGTCTTTCACAAATGTAAAACAGACACAAGCTCTATCTTAGAGAAACTGTATAAATCTATTAGAAGGGAACATTTCAGGATAAATTGGATAAAACAAAGAAAGTGACACTAAACTGAGCAGATGGATGTAAGAGGATCATTGACAAAAGCTAATGTCCCACTTTTTCCCAGTTTCCACTTCCAATTTTTCCAAAGTTGTTTGATGGACACCTGCAATTATGTTCACATCTTCCAACCTCCAAGTGCTGAAAATGAGCAGCGATTACTATGACCATTTAGTGCTTTTTTCAGCAAATCAATAGGGGAGTATAATATACACTGTTCAATCAATGTCCCATCCCTTACATGGCTATGGGTCTTGGACTAAAAAGAATCCTGTCCTACCCACTGCAGCAGAAAAAGCAAATAATTTGCTACCATCTCTCCCCAAATCCATGTTACTATGAGGGAAAGCACTATTAGGGTAGGTGATTTGTAAATATCCACACACACCCCAAGTAATTCTTTTTTACATGTAACAAAAGCCTCTAAAGGGGGCATGATAGCATATTAATATAGGGAATACAAGGAATAAATCTCAAGTTCCCACTGACTGTTCAGGGCTGCAGCTTTTCCTTGGTTTTCTAAACAAAAACAAAAACAAACCTTTATTGGAGCGGGTGTAGGGGAAGATTTCTCTCTCAAAACCAGACTATACTGTTCAATGGTACAAATTTGGTTCTGAATCAGCACAAACACTGTGTGAACATGCCCTAGGTTAAATGGAGAAGTTTATACACACCTTTTAGTATGGGATGGTTAGATTCCCAGATCCATAAAAGGCAGATATACTCAGATGACCACAGATGACCATTCACACAAAATGCACTGGTTGTTTTGATTTTTGATTTTGATTTTATTAAATTTATACCCCGCCCTTCTCCCGGAGGACTCAGGGCGGCTTACAGCCAGTTTAAAACAATGATACAATACAATACAAAATTTAAAAATGATTAAAAATAAATATTCAAATTTGGCCGCTTCTACTAAAAATTTGATTAAAACCAATTTAAAATACCCCTAGGCCAGTCCTG